TGTGTGTTGTGAAGGAAAGGAATAGTCGACGTGAATGACGGCCGGTCAGTTCTATAAACCACGAGCCGCTACTGGTCACGCTCATAACTGTGCCTGATAACAGGGAACTACTGCTTTTTCTTTCCTAACTCTTACTATATATCGTCATTTTCCTCTACTTCTTTTGTATGTTTGTCACACTCTTGTGACTCGCTATTTCCGGGGTGCCTTGATATAGTGGGGCAGCAAAGTGTGAAATCATTCACCAAACAAGCACCAAAATTGGCATGCACATTACTTTTGGGCTTTTGTTTCATAAAAAAAGAACGCTTACCTCGAGAAAATCCGAAATGGCGGCCATTTGCGGGTTCTTTGGAATATCTGTGCCTCTGTGGTTCATTCACATTGTCTTACAAGCACCAAAATTGGCATGCACATTACTTTTGGGTTGTTGTTTCATGAAAGATTGCCAGCCACGTAGTGAAAGTCTAAAATGGCGGCAATTTTCCAAGATGGCGGGCATTCACAGACTCTTTGGCGCATCTATGATATATCCAGTTTTTAGGATACAAAAATTGTTTCTGACATTTTTGACGATTGAGAATTAGAATATAAATATAATGACAAAGGGAAGCCTTTTAAATGAATGAAAAGCTACCAAACACTGATTTGCTGATTTTTACAGATATTTAACAAGATGTTACATTGCGTAATATATGACAATGGAAATGAGTAAGTAGTAAGCTAAGCAAAGTAGGCCTACAGTATGGTAAACCTGCACGTAAAATCATTATCATGACCAGCCGAGCATTAAGCACTCCAATTCTTCAGCAGGTGCAGCTGCACATTGTTGTCTATGTAGGTCTATGTCTGTCTTTCTGCTGGGATGTTGCACAGTTTACCAATCTCAACCTAGGTTGGTCTTAGCAGACAGGTAGAGTCGGAAGCTATAAGCCTCCTAAATATGATCTAAATAGTGTTGATGGGGGCTGAACCCCCCCCCCCCAACCTACATGTACATAAAAAAAAGGGTAAGCCTAAGTGTTTGGACTGACATTATGTTTTATTATAGTCTCTGAGTCTGAACATGGTAGGAGCAATTAAGAAAATCTCTTGCTCAACAATAAAATACAGATCTATCTATAGAGGCCTATGAATGATAAGCGGTACTGGAGAGGGAGTAATAGTTTTAATTTTAATTCTTTAGGTTCTCTGTAAACTCTTGACCTGGGTCTATTCCAGACTTCAGTGTGCCTTGTGTGACGGAGGCCCAGGCCATACGGGAAGTAGTGAAGCTATGACAAACTTCTCCTTTTTTGCTGATGACAATGACACCTCCAGCCCCGCCCACGCGGGTTGACATAAACTCAAGGGCAGTCTTTGCTGCTTCATTTGCTGAGAGACCTGCGGGGGGGGG